AAATCTTGTCGAAAATGCAGAAAATGGTCAATTTTCCAAATTTTTTAAATCATAAAATGAAAACCAAGATAGATATTTTAAAAAACGCTGACAATACAATGTAACCACCCCTAAGGGCAACAAGTATGCCAAGTGCCATCAAGATACACCTGTAATCTTCAGAGGAGTATTGACAAATGTGTCAAAAATTAAAAAATCAAATATTTTGGACAAAAATGAGATACCTCTCTAATTAGTGCAGATAGAATAACAATGTAGAAGAAAAATTGTTGGGCATCCAACTAGCTACGATTGTGCCAAAGGACAATCAAATCAACAGATAAATGACTGAGAAAAGGCAAAAAATATTGTAATACCCAATTTGACCCAGATTGACCATTCGGCTCAAAATTGTGGAATTTCAGCTGTAAGCATTTTTAACTTCCTCAGCCTCTCCTACAACTATTTCATCGCATACATAAGAACCCCCATAAACCTTATTTCTTCACATACCGGGCATGTTTGTCACCAACATTTCCTCATAAAGTCAATATTTTATTTTTCTTTATCGGCCGTTTTCTCAAAACGCGACTTTTCTATATATTATTTTGAATAACTCCACCAGTTTTCATTTAATCTTCATGAAATTTTCACAGAATGTAGAAAAAATGTAATACTAAAACTGTATTTGTTGATTTTTTTATATAGGGAATAGATTTTTATTGGTGGTGTCTTGAGTGTGGATTTTCACGGATTTTTTGCAAACTTAAATGCATGTACTTCCTTTGGAAAAAATTCATTAAAGATATTCTAATTTGTTTCGGAAAAAACAACAGACAGATTTTAAGATCTAATATTTGTAAATACGCATTCAAAACACCAATCAATTTCCGTGAGCAGTAAGTGCAGTATTCATTACGTAAGACGTGTCAACAATATCCAATATGGCCGCCGTATCCATGGAAACGAAACTTTTCTCAAATTTGATATCGGATTTTAAGACTCCTTACTATGCTTGTTATATGTGCGAAATTTGGTCAAATTCGATAAACTAATAAGCGAGATAGCCTTCAGGTGTAAACCCCCCCCCCTTAAAACCCATTCATTTATTATTCCCGCCTTGGGTTCATTGACCTCGATTGTTTATAACCCTGTACCTTGGACACAGCTTTGGGACACAGAGTGTGGAATAAGACGGCCGATAGGCCAATAGACTAGACGTGTCTTGTCCGAACTGGGGGACACACAAGCCGAAAACGACCCGACCGATTTTCCTCCTCCCGGCAAAAGATCGGGACGTGTCCGTCTTAGTGGACAAGTAGGGTAAACCTGGCAATCGGTAGAGGCAGAAAACATTTGACTGGTAAAGGAATGTGCCGAACAGGCTGAAATGCTACACGTCCATGTTTTTTTTATTCTTTGGTGGATGGGAGAAGGGGGAATAGTGAGTTGTACTTACCTGGCCGGTTATGAGAGTTATTGTGATGCCATGTGAGCCTCCAGGGGTGTAAATGACATGAATAAACAAATACTTTAACTTTAAACCCAAACTGGTATCTCCATACCAATCAAAGGAGATATTAGGAAGTCATAAAAAACTTTTCATTTGAAGTACTAAAAGGTGCTTCACTTCTAAAGGTTTGTTTCATAGCTATAATATATATATATATA